GTCCGCAGACGGTCCTTGCGACGTCCCAAAAATTTGAGTAGTCGGAACTCCAATTTCTGGGAGTCGTTTAAACTAAGTCCCATACTAATTTATCCTCCTCTTTTTTATTAGGCACCTCCCAAGACTTCACTTGTGGGAGGTGCCAGACACTAAAAAATGACTTGAAGTAGTGGCTGTGTGGACAGGAAAATCTTTCTCCCACTTCTGGTTGGATGGATTATGTATGGGTACCAAGTAAGTTTTTCCTGCTTTCTGGATTGCCAAGGATTCTGCTCCATGTTGGTGAAATTTGATGGTTGCTGACACATCTATGAGCCATGGTTTGCCCAAAATTGGTTGAACTTCCCCTGCAGAGACATAGAAGTGTATTCCTCTGGTGATGTGACCCACTTTTACAGGTACACTCTCAGCTACTCCTAGGATTTCATTCTTGTGGCCACCAATTCCTTTGAGGTTCATGGGTTTTTGGGTGATTATGAGGCCCATTCTTGCTGCAAGGTCCCTGGGGAGTAAGTTGACTTGTGATCCATTATCCAATAGGGCTTGGAAGGATTTCCCATTGATACTGACATCTATATATCCTAGGGGGCAGGCATAGTGGCTAGGTTCTTCCTGAGGGTCTTCCTCTTCTTCTCCATCCTGGTCAATCCCTCCAGAGTTGGTAGATTTGGTGGGGTCCACTGGGATTCTTTTTGGAGTAATCCTTTTCTTGAAGGCTTCAACAGTACCATTAGAAATTGCAAAAATTTCCCCAATAGAGAGTTCCATTTTACCATCCATTAACATCCTGCTGACCACTTTGTCTTCTGCATCTGGAAATTGATTAGTTAGAGGTCTCTCCACATAGGTCTTTCTAGGGGCCTTTTCCTTGCTAGCTGGTATGGTGGTGCTTTCAGGTTCCTGGATTTGGACTTTCTTTGGTGGAGGATTTTCCTTGGTGGAAGAAGGTGGCAGAATTACTGGGTTGTAGTCATCCTGTCTGGCAATTTCTTGAAGTCTGTCCCTGTCTACATCCATTAGGTCCTCTTTTTCTTTTCTGACCCTTTTGCTGACTGAGGTTTCTTCTGGATATTCCTTTCCACTTCTGGTCCTTTTTACAGCTTCACATTCATAGGTGGATTCCTCTTCTTGGTCAATTTCTTCCAATTTTCCAAAAGAGGTCTGGGGGTCCATGGAAATTTCTGCAGATTTATTTAGGGCTCCTTGAGGTAAGTTGAGAATTCCAGGCTGTTTCTGAGATAGGTGAAAGTGGTCCACAGCTGATTTGAATGCCTTGTTTTTCTGCCATTGAACTTGAGATCCATCTGGTAGGATTACATTGGGTCCATCCTTCTTGAAGAGTCCTTTTAGTTCATCCTCATTGGCCATGTTACATCTATGGAAAGTGTGGCCTAGTCCATGGCAGTAATTACACTTGACATTACTCCAGTCTTTTTCCAATTGGGCAGGTTTGTAAGGAACATGGCTTTTGGAAATTAAGGGGTTGGATTTCTGGGTGTGCCAACTGGCCAAGGTTTTGGTGAGGTCTTCCACAGCTTTCTGGTCCTGGGTTTTCTGGGCTGGGGGTTTTACTGAATTGTTTTGCTCCATTCCTCTCCAGACTTTTCTTCTTTCCATGACAGAGGCAGACTGAACTTCTCTGTGGATATAACTGATCAGGGTTTCAGTATCTGGTAAAATGTCCCCACCATCCTTGGAGGCCAACATCATGTTGTCTCTGATGAGTTCTCTGGTTACTGAGGATTCCAAGTCTGGGCTGAGGGATTCCAACAAACATTCTCTGGATTCTTCCAAGTTGGAACTGTATCCCATTCTGACCAAGTAGTGAGTGATGGCTTCAAATTTGGTCCTAAAGATTTTAAAGTGCTCCAGGGTCTTGATTCCTCCTCCTTTGATGGCAGAATTTACCAGGTGCTTAAGGTCATGCCTGGTGTATTTGACTAGGGGAAGGGAGGATCCAAATCTGTTGAGTAGTTGTTTCTTCAGTTGTTCCCAGTTAGAGTCTTCATATCCTGACATCTCCTCCACTTCATCTTTTGGTCCATTCCTTTGATAAAGGGAATAATTTGTCTGGCCAAATCCTGGGGGGTTGCTCCATCTGTTTCACCAGCAGCCTCATATCTCTTGATGAATTTTTCTATGG